ACTCTGTATATATACAAACACTTTTACTACTGAAATTAAATGAAAAACAAAATAAAATAAAATAACAAACTATACACATGTCTTTCTCTAATTTGTACAAAACTAACAAATTTATTCCCTCACATGTTCTTCACGTGAGATGAATTTCTTGGAAGGTTCCTTTTCCTGTACAGCTGGCTTTGAATCCAAAGGCCACGATTTCATCTTATTATCTTTGATCAACGGCTCAGATTCTTCCAGATTAATTTTGTGTTTATGTTTTTGATTTGGTCGAGGATGTCTGAAACTTGAAGTGTCTCTTTCTTTCTTTGAAGAAACTTTTCTCTTATCTGAAAATTGAAGCGTTTCTTCTTCTTTCTCCTTTACACATCTTCTTGCATTCAAGGATGAAGAAGAAGAATAAGATGTTTGTTCTGCAATATCCCCCCTCAATTTGGAGGTGGATGAAACCCTCAATTTGTTTAGGACAAACGATGAGAGTCTCCTGATAAAGGCTTGGTAAAGATATCGACAAGCTGTTGAGCAGATGGAACATAGGATAGTGTGATTAAGCCGGAAATGAACTGCTGACGAACGAAGTGACAGTCCAACTCAACATGTTTCGTTCTTTCATGGAAGACTGGGTTTTTGGCGATGTGAATAGCCGCCTGGCTATCTGAATGGACAGTTATGGGCAAAGACGGAGGTATGGAGAGATCGGCAAGAAGACGAACGAGCCAGGTAATTTCAGCAGTGACCCTCCTCATAGATCTGTATTCTGCCTCCGCAGAAGATAATGAAATGGAGACTTGTTTCTTCAATTTCCAGGACACAAGAGCACCTCCAAGAGTAATAAAATAACCACTAACGGAGCATCTGCTATCCCTGCAGGAAGCCCAATCGGCATCGCAGAAAGCCATCAATTCAAAAGAAGGATTTGATGAGAGGAGAATCCCTTGTCCTGGATCTGTGCTAAGATATGGTAGGACACGAAGAGCTGCATTGAAATGAGGCTGTCGCGGTTGCTGCATGTATTGGCTGAGTGATAAAACAGCAAAAGGCAGATCTGGTCTAGTATGTGTCAAATAATTAAGTTTTCCCACAAGATGTCTGTAGATGGTGGGATTCGAGAGAAGTGGGCCTTCATCAGCAAGCAATTTTGAATATGGATCAAGAGGAGAAGACACTGTTGTACCCGAACAATCAAATTCCTGAAGAAGCTCTAAGGTAAATTTCCGTTGATTAATAATAAAGCCATGTTTTTCCCGGAATACTTCCATACCCAAAAAATAGTGAATTTCCCCCAAATGTTTAACCTTGAATATGTGTTGAGAAAATGCATAATATGGTTGATTTCTGACTGATCATCACCTGTAATTAAAATGTCATCGACATAGACTGCTATAAGAGAGACCAAATCTCCATTCTTTTTATAGAATAGAGAATAGTCATTTAAAGAACTGGTGTACCCTTTATAAGTGAGAGCTCCAGCAAGCTTAGCATACCACTGTCGAGATGCTTGCTTTAATCCATAGAGGGATTTCCTTAAAAGACAAACCAAAGTAGGATTGGTAGTGGGCATACCAGTAGGTAGCTTCATGTATACTTCTTCTTGTAGATCCCCATGTAGAAAAGCATTACTTACATCCAATTGATGTACAAACCACCCTTTTTAATAGCAACAGTAAGAAGACATCTAATGGTGGTCATCTTGACCACCGGTGAGAATGTCTCAGTAAAATCCACTCCTTCTCTTTGAACATCTCCTCTGACCACTAGTCTAGCTTTCAGCCTCTCTAGTGTACCATCAGATTTATGCTTAACCTTGTAAACCCACTTACAAGGTAATGGTTTCTTGCCGGGGGGTAACTCTACTAAATCCCAAGTATGATTATACTCAAGAGCAGCTAGTTCTTCATTCATGGCAGAGATCCAACCAGGGTGAGTAGAGGCTTGACTAAAACTTTTAGGCTCAGTAATATTAGAAATAGAAAGAAAAACATGCTGATTTTGAAGTGATAAAGATCCAAAAGAATAGGCAGTGGGTGTAGGTGGATGAACAAAACAAGCATTTGTAAGATCAGTAAGATATATGTTGTTACAAACATAATCAGAAAGGTACCCTGGTGGATGGGAAATTCTAGTGGACTTTCTTGTTGGTTCATTTGAAAGAATAGAAGGGTTGGGAGAAATAGGAGATAGAGGGACAGGAGGTTCTTGTAAATGAGAGCTTGTGTTTATTGGAGTAGATGGAACAGTAGGCATAGATGGAAAATCACATAAATCAGAAGGGGGATTTGGAAAGAATGGTGTAGAAGTGGGTGATTGAGAGGCAAAAGGGAATTGACTTTCAAAAAAATGAACATCTCTTGAGACAAAAACTCTTTTTGTTTTTAGATCAGCCAACTTGTAACCTTTCTTCCCTAGAGGGTATCCCAAAAACACACAAGCTGTAGCCCTAGGTTCAAACTTAGCTCTGTTTTGAGAAAGGGTGGATGCATAACAAAGACATCCAAAACACCTCAAGTTATGATAGGTTGATTCTTTCCCAAAAAGAACCTCATAAGGAGTCTTTCCTTTGAGTACCCTGGAAGGTAATCTATTGATGAGATATGTTGCTGTTAAGATACTGTCACCCCAATAGGAAATAAGCAAATGAGATTGAAACATAAGAGCCCTTGCAAGTTCTAGCAAATGTCTATGCTTTCTTTCTACTACTCCATTTTGTTGTGGAGTTCCCACACATGATGTTTGATGTAGAATTCCTTGTGATCTTAGGTACATACCTTCTTGAGTCCCTTTCCCTAATTCCAAAGCATTGTCAGATCTTATACACTTAACTTTTCTATCAAACTGTCTTTCAATCATGGTCAGAAACTCTTTAAGAATAGGAAAAGCATTACTTTTAGAACTCAACAAAAACACCCAAGTACCTCTACTATAATCATCAACTATAGTGAGAAAGTACCTATATCCATCATAAGTGCATGATTTATAGGGACCCCATGTATCAATATGAATTAAATCAAACATTTGCTGAGAATGAATTTGACTAACTGGAAAAGACAATCTGGTTTGCCTTGCTTTAGGACACACATCACAAACATGATCAGAATTGAAAGGAGATTGAATGAATGTAAGATTTTTCATCACTGAATAAGGGACATGTCCCAATCTTACATGCCAAAGATTAAAAGTAGGAACTACATTTGCTGAAACCGGTAAAGAAACTGAATTTGACTGAGGAATGGAATTTTTTCCTTTTTGAAAAGAAACTACATTGTTCTTGAAACTAACTTCAGACTTAGTGCTAGTGGGCTGCATGAGATACAGTCCTTCTTTCATCTCACCAAAAGCTTGAGTGGTCCTCATTGAAGGGTCCTGTAAGATACACCCACTAGCTGTAAGTAACACATGACAATTATATTGATTACACAATTTATGAACAGACAATAAATTGTACTTAAAGATAGGAACATGGAGCACATTATGGAGAGTTATCTTGGGCAAAATAGGGACACTTCCTGTATGAGTCACAACTATTCTGAAAGAGTTAGGCAAAGTGATAGTCATAGGTGTAGGAAGAGGAATCAAAGAAGTGAAAGATTTGGAATCAAAACACATGTGTTCTGAAGCACCTGAATCAATGATCCAGGTGCTTGAATTGAAAACTGAGAAACATGAACCAGAATATTGTAAAATTGTACCAGCAATTGCTCCTGCATTGAATCCAGTTGCAGAGTTACTTCCCTGCCTTACTTGGATATCTTTGGCAACCTGTTCAACTAAATTAGCATACTGATCCTTGTTAAGATACTGACCAAAATTGTTTTCATGATTTGAACTATTTCCAGGATTAAAATTGCTTCCATGTGTTTCCTTATGTGAATTGTTAACTGTCTCAGTTTCAACACCTGCAATTGCCCCATTTGCTTTGCTTGGATAGAACTTAGACTTGGTAAATTCAAAATCATCAGGAAAACCTATGAGTCTAAAACAATTCAATTCCAAATGACCTATCTTTCCACAGTAAGAGCAAGTGACATTAGGATCTTACTTAGTTCCTCTCATTTTTCCTTTTACTGCTCCTTTTTCATTTCTTTGTTGTTGTTAATTGCAGTCTTTTGTGTTGTATTTGTGTTTCTCATTCCTTGATTTCCAGTTTTCTAATTAAACCTTCCTTGAGATGTTGCCATGAAAGCTGTAGATTCAGCATTCAAAGTTGAATTAACATATACTTCCCTTTGATTCTCATCTTGAAGTAGCAGAGAGTAGGCATGATCAATATTTGGCAAAGGATTCATCATTAAGATGTTTCCTCTTGCTTGTGCATACACATCGTTGAGCCCCATCAAAAACTGGATCAACTTTTGATCTTCCAAGGACTTCACTAATTTATCCTTCCCTTGGCATGTACACACACAAGTGCAAGATATAGTGTGATTGAGAGAATCCAGTTCATCCCATAGCCGTTTGAGTCGAGTAAAATACCCTGCTATGTCGCTGTTAGCTTGAACAAGACCTGAGAGTTCCTTTTGTAAATGATATAGCTTAGCACCATTAGATCTACCAAATCTATGCTCCAAGCTATCCCACAATTCTTTTGCTGTTTTGGAATAGATAACACTGTCCCTAATGTCCTTTGGTAATGAATTAAGCAGCCATGATATCACCATATCATTGCAGCAGCTCCATTGCTCATAATCTACTGCATTCAAATCTGGTGCTTTACATGTTCCATTGATGAAACCTAATTTCTTTTTCGCAGATAATGCTATCAGAACTCCTCTTCTCCATCCTGGAAAACCTCTTCCATCAAAGACTGAAATCACAATGGTCATTCCAGGTGAATCAGAATGAGTAAGGAAATAAGGGTGATTGTTATTATGTGTGGTGGTGACATTGACTAAAGGAGTGGTGTTCTGTGGAGGAATGTTTTCTCCCATCTTGTTGATAGATTAGGAAAAGATTGTAAAGATGAATCGGATCGAGCTAATGCTCTATACCATGAAAGGATTGAATAAGAGAAATTGGGAAATTTTCTGATGATTTATTTCCTTCAATACTCTGTATATATACAAACACTTTTACTACTGAAATTAAATGAAAAACAAAATAAAATAAAATAACAAACTATACACATGTCTTTCTCTAATTTGTACAAAACTAACAAATTTATTCCCTCACATGTTCATCACGTGAGATGAATTTCTTGGAAGGTTCCTTTTCCTGTACAGCTGGCTTTGAATCCAAAGGCCACGATTTCATCTTATTATCTTTGATCAACGGCTCAGATTCTTCCAGATTAATTTTGTGTTTATGTTTTTGATTTGGTCGAGGATGTCTGAAACTTGAAGCGTCTCTTTCTTTCTTTGAAGAAACTTTTCTCTTATTTGAAAATTGAAGCGTTTCTTCTTCTTTCTCCTTTACACATCTGCTTGCATTCAAGGATGAAGAAGAAGAATAAGATGTTTGTTCTGCAATAAATTATGAGAAGACGGTGAGTTTTGTTTAATACTAGGCTTCATAACATTATTGTTCCTCTGTACAGGGAAGCTAACAGAAAATTTGCCCATCTATAAAATTTATAACAAATCTAATTAGAGAAGGCTCTTAAGTGCATACACACATATGTCCATTTCCAAGACAGTAAGCTCCAACCATTAAAATTTATTCTTTCAACTTCAGTTATAACAAAGAAGCATGCAGGAACGAACTAAATCTCGTGATGTGCTATGCCATCTAGGAGCATACCACAACCAAATAATTAGAGCAATGGAGCTTGGAGTTTTCCGACAAAAGAGGCAGTGACATCGATAGGATAAGCACTTAACGATGCATATAAATTTCTTATAGCTCGAGATAGTGAAAACATTGAGCAAAATGAGACAGACAGAGACTATTGGCAACAACATGCTATTACTGACTACCCACATACAACTTTACCGAATATGAAAGCTCAATACTATATTTCGAACATCATACTCAAAATTAAGCGCAAATCATATGAAGTTACTTATTAGTGGAACATGAGGCACTTGACATAGTAAAACTTCCAATATGCAAGCTTAACAATGAACTAATTCAACATGACAAGGTAATCATCGCATAACCATGAATTTTTTTTTTAAAAAAAGAAGAGGAGGAAAACAAACTCACGCAACTAACGGACTGGAAAACAAACATGGAGTCTATGCATTAACTAACTTCAATGTTCTGCCCTGTAATACTCACGAAAATAGCAACATTTTCAAGAGCACACCTTATGTCTCAGACTACCAAGACACCAATCTCAACTCAATCAATCGACTACTATATAAATAGTGAATCAAGAAACAAAAGGGCAGCCAAGAAGGAAAGGTAAATAAATCAACAAGCAAGCTTTAGCCCATTAAAAAAAAACATATCAACTAAAGAGTTGGAAACTGAAAAAAAATTTACCTTTTTGTGTGAAACGAGCTGAGACAAACGAGCTGGAATGATCGCGACTTCTTCCGCCAAAAAACTCGAGCATGAGTTACCGATCGAAATCCTGGAAGAATCTCGAATTCACACAAAACTTGGGGACAAACGATGGTAAACGCGGTTAATAGGGACACTCAGATTGACACCAAGTAATTCTTTTTTTCCCAGAATGTATATTTATCTAGTTGTTTTACTATGTTATAAAAATCCCAGCTACCTTTTTTTCAACTCATCAAAAATCGGATGAGAAAAAGGTCTCTCTTTCAATTTCAAAAACTCTGTGACTTTCACCATTTTAGAGTAGCCACCTTTTTTCGTGGTTCAACTCCATTTCGGAAAAGGAAGGGAAATCGACACCCTTGATCAATTTCGTATCCTCATTGCTTGACGTGTCTCAATCTTACGCTACAATTCCAGTCGACCATCGCTAAGCTTTGTGCGCAAAGGCAGTACTCGATTCAGGAAAGAGACCTTGGATCGATATTGTTGATGCCTTTTTTTTTTCCCGTTGCTTCTCCCTCGCGTGAAGGAGATCACTGTGTTTCTGCTTTCCGTCAAATTGTCATGAAAGAAGTCGTATAGCTTTGGGAAGTTGCTGCTATCCCTTTCTAGTTTCCTTGCTGAAGAAAAATTGGGCTGCAAATTAGAAAAAGAGAAAAATGCAAACTGGGCCTGGTTCAATTTGTTTTGCTGAAAAATAGGTAGAGGAGGGTCTAATATTTAAGTTAATGGCAAAATTGTGTTTAAAAATTAGCCTATTTTGAATTCAAGTATGGCTACAAATCGAATAAGATCAACTAATATACTTAATTCTTAATCTTGACAAAATAAAATAATTAACTAAATTATAGACTAATGATTCAAAATATAACCTATGATTAAGCCAAACAAATTAATAATATATCCAATTAAAACAAGATATTTTTTAGACGATTTTTGAATATTCATAAAATATACTAATTATATACAAAATTATAAAAATATCAAATTATTTAAAAGTAACTTGAAAAATATTTTGAACTTTACAAAACTATTTTTTTAAAAAAAAATTAAAATTGAAATTTAAACTAAACTAAATTAATAAATTAACTAACTTGAAACGTAAAATCTTTATAAAAGAGTTTCTTTTTTCCAAATATTTTATAAAGTATTAAATACATAAGCAAAATATAAAAACGCATTTGCTATCTAAAAAGAATTATAAACGTGACTAAGTCACTCTAAGCTCTTACAAACATACTTTTATTCTATAAACTAATTATTTCAAATTGTTTAGAAATTTAAGAAGATCGAAAATTAATTATTATCGAAAGAATCAAAATTGGGTGTGAACAACTAGCCACCAAAAGCATGACAATAGAACTTTCCCCGCGTCAAATATATTACAAAGAGATGAAAACATCGGCAAGAGAAATACACTAAATAAAACAAAAGATGTGTTACCTCTTTCGGTGTAGCTAACGGGACTAGGCGAGCTGAAAGGAGCAGTAAACTTCACCACTGAAACAAGGCAATCTGGACACCTGGCTGCGAAGGACGACATGCCTCTGCCAAAATCAACCCACTATGCGTACTGTTGTAGAGGAAAATCAGAGAAGACGACAAAAATCACCTCTTGACTCGTTTTTGCGTGAAGCGCGTGTTAGAGTCGTTCCAAATTTCTGTTGTACGCGATTGAGAGGGCGGATGTCTTTGTTTTGTTAGAGTTGGGTCGGGTCGGGGATATAAGGTTGTGAGTTTGGTCGTTTTTTGGTATTGTAATGGATTGCTTACACGGGGTAATGAGTTTCTTTTAGAATTGAAAAAGATCATTTACTAGAAACGTTAAAGAAAAGGCCGAACACTTGGTCTCTAAAGTGGATTAAAGGATTGGCGGAAAATTTTAACAAAACAAAGACCAACTTCGGTTAAAACTTAAAGAAAATGAATTAACATAAATTAATTAATGAGTCTCTTAATCTTAATAAAATAAAATAATAAATTTAATTATAAACTAATTAAACTAAAAATATAAACTATTATATAACTAAACTAATTAACCAAATATTTAATTAAGACAAAAAAAAATTTAAGAAAATTTTCAAATAATCATAAAATAAACTAATTATATGCATAATTATGTAAAACATATATAATATAAAAAAATTACAAAAGTGACAAAACTATTTAAAATAAATTAAAAAACATCTTGAATTTCATAAAGTCAATTATTTCAACTTGTTTGGAAATTAAGAATCTCGATTATTAATTCATGTTATGAATGTCCAAAATTGGGTGTCAACAGGTTTCATGAGATGACCATTGAATTGTCATATTTACTTGTTATTTTGAATGTAAATTGTACATTGCTCCTAAAATGATATATATATATATATATATATATAACGATTCATTTGTTCGCTTTGAGCAATAGAGCATTTTATTTCATAAAGTAATTTTCGATAGATTGTAAATGAGTAGTTTGGAATAATTATAACTATATATAGGAAATTAGTGGAGTAGTTTTAATTACTTATTAGTTGATGGTTAAAGTAGATAAAATTATAATTAGTAGTGGTACACTTTTATAATTAGTTACATATAACAATTATGGCATTAATGTTCAGAAAAAAATCAAGTTGAGAATAAGACTTACCTGAAGACGACATGAGGAGCCGCAAGTCTTAATTAATCAAGGTAAAACTCGTCTTCAAATCTTAATGTTCATCGTGATGCAATTTGTTAATGCAGAGGTATACATATGGAAAGCATTAATTGTGTGATGGTGGGAAGGTTTGATTATTTAATTAGTTTCATATATATTTGTCGTTACACAGCCATATGTGTGGCCTCAATTTTCAATTGGTTTTCTGCAGAAAAATTGAGATAGCAAATATGTGTATAGTAATATTGATAAATGCTAAGATGGATTGAGGAGCTAGGTATATAATTGTTGGAATTTTACTACAGCTAATAATAACTATAATTAGGAACTAATGACAAATTCTTGATGCCATTCTTAGTTCGTAATGATTATGACCAATGAGGTGGTAGTGATTGCTGGGAATACCTTATAGAATTTTACATGATGCATGGAATACGGGTTTGACAATTGTTGATTACCGTAAAATTTAAATCTATGATTTCAACCCTTAAGTTTTCTTACAGTTATCATATTATAATTTAAGTTTTGTTATATTGAAATAGGTAATTAAATATTAGGTATATTATGGTACTTGAATACTATTAAGGTTATGTTATTTGGAGGTTAAGACTTAACCCTAGGCTTTAATTTAAGACATAGAAAACTTGACATAGTAATTGACCTTAAGATGTTAAGAACTTGAACATAGAATTGTGCTTGATAATTATTGAGTTTAGGCTAGACATATAGTAATAGGGGTGTCTGTATACTCGTTAACTTACAAAATTATGCACATATACTTGATAGATGGAAAAGGCTCGGAGACACTGAGGAAAGGAAAAGTATTGGAGAAGTAGCATGTTGACTTCGATTCTTCGATGGAGGTAGGTTATGGTTTATGCTATTTGATAGTAAACTCTTAATAGTGATTGATATGCATTGTATGATATTGTGAAATTTTCTATGTACTTGATTGTGTGATTGTGTGGCTTGGTCGTGTGTTTTGTGATTGGTCTGAAATCCCGAGACCGTGGAATGTATAATCTTAAATCATCTCTATTGAAGTAATGCCTTGAATAAAGAAGGCTCGATGAAATATTATTAACGAAAGAAAAAGTGGTGATATTAAATGATAAATTAATGATATTATTGGATCGGAGTGTCACGTTCCGACACGATATTCTTGGATCGGGCTGTCACATTCTGACATGATATTTTTGGATCGGAGTGTCACGTTCCGACACAATATTCTTGGATCGGAGTGTCACATTCCGACACGGTATTCTTGAATCGGAGCGTCACGTTCCGACACGATAATATTAAAGGAAAAACATGTTGAATTAATGGAAGGTACTCAATCTCAAAGAACTCAACTCCCAAAATGATTTGGTTTGGAGGCACCTCATGTGTGATGTTGATATCATTGACTTATTATGAGCTTACTTTAATGTTGTTGATACTTGTTCATGTTGTTTGTTGTTTATCACCTGTTAAGTGCTATAGTTGAGTTCATACTATTATTTATTGTATATTAGCTCCTATTTTGAGTTGGCCGATGATACCTACTCAGTACATGTTGCCCCCGTACTGAGTCCTACTTGTTTTCTTCTTTGTTTTCCTTTTATGAAATGCAGCGAGTATACCTATGTCTTCTGATTTCCCTCAGCTCTAGCCAGCCTCCCACATATCAAGTTCCAGGGTGAGTTATCCATTCAAACTCGTGTTGGATTCTCTCGGTCATGACATGATGTCCTATACTTTCGGACACATACCATTTTATCCTTTTATTTTAGTGTATTCGATATTCTTAGACTTAGTATTGGAGATTAGATGTCCTTGATGTGATGACTATCCGATTTTGGGATGATAAGTATTAAACTTTAGAAACTTATTTAAATTGGTTGCTTAGTATCTTTTGGAGCTTTCGCATTATTTATATTATTTATAGTTGAATTATTGGTATATGTTGGGGTTTAGATGTGTTGGTTCACCCACCTAAGGAAGTAAGTGTGGGTGTCACTCACGACTTGTTTTGGATCGTGAAGTGTGAGCCATATCTTTTAGGCTTTGACTAGTTCTTTAGATATTTTTGATGTTTGGTTGGGGTTGCACCCCTTATTTTTAGACTTGTCGTTATTAGAGTTTTGGTGCATTGGCTTTCAGGTTGTAAGGGTTTAATTTCAGCAATAGTTATGATAGTTGTTTTTGTTAAAATTTTGGAGTTTATAGAAACTCCATATTTCTTTAGATATTTAAACCTACTTCTGTATCTTTAAATGTCTAGCTTCTCGTTTAGTTGTCTAGTTGGGTGTAGTAGCGTTCTACCACCGGATGATTAGTGTGGGTGTTAGTCACGTTGATCTGGGTCGTGACATTTTGATAATTAATACTTCACTATCCCAATTTATGTGACTTGCTTTTCTTTTTAGTCAGTCCCAAAAAGAATGACACATTTCTATATCAAGTAACAGTTTAACCTTAAAATGTCTACTTTACCCTTAATGAAATGATTTACAACCATACAAATTTCTATCATCATTTTGGACCACAAGTTTAAAAAATCTTCTTTTCTTTCTTAAACTCCGTGTAGAATCAAACTATATCACATAAATGGAACGGAGAAAGTATTTAGGGCCCTTTGGTCTTGCGATATGGAATCATGATATGGAATCGTGACATGGTATCATGATATGAGATCATGAGATGAAATTAAAGTTTTATTTGGACATGTGATATGGAGTTTTGGTGTTGTATATTTTCTCATAAACATAATCTCATAAGTTCTAAAACTATTAAAATAACCCAAATTATTTATTCAATATTATCAAACAAAACAAAAAATCATATGATAACTCATTACAAAGTTATTTGTTCTCCACTTAAGTAATTGTTTCATCAATATATTTGACTAAAAATGAAACACCTTTCACGGACTCTTCAAGATTTTATTACTGAACGATCGTGAAGTGTGGGTTAAAGTGATTATATGTTGGTGAGAATAATAAACTTTAAGCCAGTGAGAATAATAAATTTTAAAAAATAATGATGTGATTATAAACTTTATTTTCATGTGAAATAAATGGTTAGTAGATATAAATGTAAGGTTGTTTTAACAAAATATAAATTTGTGGATCGATTTTTGTATTAAAATAACTCAAATCTTGACATGGTATTCCCATATGATTCCATATCAGGTTTTTGGAGAATATGATATCACATCTCATGATACAGAATCTTGAGATGAAATCAGCGCAAACTTGCATGTCCAAACGCTGATTCCATCTCACGATAACATATCGCGATATGATATCACATGACCAAACACCTACTTTATAAAAAAATAGTAATGACAAAAGTCCACAATCATAGCAATATATTATCTTTTCCATAAATATATTATTAAAATATTTTCTCTTTTCTAATTTTTTTTGGGAAAATAACTTGTGTGTCTATTTTTTAAAAAATAATTACCATATTTGTCACTATTATTTTTTTAACCATAAATGTAAATTTAATTGAATATTCAACTTCATATTTTTTCTCTCGCCTCAAAATTTTTCCACGCCCGCAATTGCAATTTTTTCTTCTCTCTCGCGACTGCAATTTTTTCTCTCTCTCGTGATTGCAATTTTTTTCCGGCGACTTCAATTTTCTCTCGCCATTGCAATTTAAAGGTTAGTGTTGAGTAAGATATGTTAGTTTAGGTTACTTGCACTACATTCTGCGATTTTTGTTGGTCTCCTTTGCACTTAACTGATCCTTTAATGTGAGCTTGCAATTGTGGTCTTGACAGTGCCCAGATCGTTACGCCTTTCTTCTTTTTGTGTGGATTTATGTTGAGATTTCGTTTGATTTATGTTTACGTTACTTGTGTGCCTTTTTGTTTGATGATTTATATTGAGATTTCGTTTGATTCAAGTTCCTGTGAGTGTCTGGTATTCAGTTCTCTTCTCTAATAAGTATGATCTCTTGTTAGCATCTGTATATTCATGTTTAATTCACTTTTTAGCATTTGTGTAATACAACTTCAATTTAGTTTTATTTTACTTGTTAGCATCTGTGTTATACAACTTTATTTCAGGTTTAATTCACTTTTTAGCATTTGTGTAATACTTCAATTCAGTTTTAGTTCACTTGTTAGCATCTTTGTAACACAATTTTAATTCAAGTTTAATTCACTTGTTAACATCTGTGTAATACAACTTTAATTCAAGTTTAATTCACTTGTTAGCATCTGTGTAATACAACTTCAATTCAGTTTTAGTTCACTTG